TGGAGCTTTTTGCAGCCGATTGTAAGGATTTTGCTTATGTTGAAGGTCATGCGGTGGCCAATAATTGCTAACATTTCATTTAACCATTTTGGATAGTTGTCTTATTGGCAATCATACCTCATCTCCTTATTTTATATTATACATTGACTGAAAACATATAACTTGATTGCGCGATTTATTTCAGCTTGTAAACGATTAGTATCTGTATGATTTGGACACCTGTAAATATCTCTTTAAGTTCCTGCGATGGTTGTATATTTTCGTTTTACTAATTCCAATTTGATATGGATACTTTATGTGACTGATTGTGATACTTATATTTAATATTGTAGTTTTCAATTAAATCATGTACTTTGATATGCATATTTGTAATACTGTTTTACGTTTTTTTTTTCGATATTAAATCATAAATATGATAACTGAAATATCAACTAGGGTAGCTAGCTCTGCATCTATCGGGTGCTCTCCATTGTCAATCAATATGCAACTGAATTAAAGTTTAGTGCAAGTAATATAAAAAGTATACCAAAAATACAAGAATCAAAAAGTCCAAAAAACTGCCAAATTCAAACGCTATCAATCAACGGAACAAGTGAAAAACAACTCCATATTCGGGACTTAGTTCAGTCATTTTTTTAAGATAATTGTTAGTTAAACCTGGTTTTATATCTAGCTCACCTTTCCTCGTGTATGGCAGTTATTTGCTTCTGTTATATTCAAAGAATATTATTTTGAAGAAGCAGTAGCATAAAGGTTTCTACATGCGTTCTATTCCTCTTTATGTTAGCATTTTTGGCAAACTACATATGCGCACTATTGCAGAGTCAATAATATCAGAAATATAAATAAAACCTGGCTCATTCACGCGTAAAGTCTAAAGTTGTCATAATGTATAGACAATGTATATTACACACTGATTTCCAAAACTCAGAATGCATTCAAGAATGTTGAGCTACATGACATGCATTCTCAAGAAGCTTTATAACACAAAACCATTACAAATACAGTCACTGTGTAGATTCCATTTTGTATTTAAAAAAAAACAACAATTTGTTGGTTTATTGCAGTCTTTTCCAAGCAGTTGTAAAGAACCCTTATGAGATACATTAGATTTGCATTAAACGAGTCCTCTTGGTTCTAAGCGGACCCCAGAATGCATTTTGACAGAATATATTGGTTGGAGCAAAAAGAATGACCAAAGCACGGTTGATAACTTTTTAAATAGTGTCCATACGAAATGGAATGATTAATCGCATATTCGCGATTCTTATGAAAGTCGTTTTAAAAACAACCTCTTCATTAGCAACATACCAAAATTAAGATACTTCATGATAAAATTTAACATTTCTTTTGTTAATTCTCTTGAACAATTGTTAATCTTTAATAACACCTGCATGACCAGGTTATCATGATGCACACAGGTCATGTAGGTTGTTATATCAGTTTACTTGTGTTGTTGTATGTTAGATATATATTTTAGAATTGCCGAATTTTTTAATTGCGTTTGTTGTTAAAAAAAATCAAATCCCTTTACAACAATATTTATCTATTGAATATTTTACTTTTGATTCTCATTTACACATTATCTTTCAAGTACAATAATTCTATATTTGTGCATTAGTCAAACAAAAAGCATAACAAAAATACTATCTCAAAACAATTTATTAGGTACAAATGTACTGATGATCACAGACTTTCAATACGCAGATTTTATGGATGAACAGGCTAATTAATGTACTTTATTATGTGTTTTTCAATACAAGATAATTTTCTTTTGATTCAAATTTTTATAAACGATTATAAATCACTTATTTTGCAGTCAGTTTTGAAACTTAAATGAGTAAATTCATTTCGCTTCTTAAATCATTTGTTTCAAGCCTGCAAGATAAAATATATTCCATAACAGGCTTCGTTAAAATAGGTGTTATACATAACTTCAAAATTTGGTACATGTTCTCCAGTAATTTATTGTTTTCAACAACATACAAAGAGCCGTTGAGGGCCCGGGATAATGCCAATTTAATCGTTAATTAGTCAGTATTATGCACAACGAATGAGGGTTAGGTAAGAATGAGGGTTAGGTAAGACGGTATATGGAAATAGCCAATTTTAACTATAGTTCTAATCGAACAAGATAATCAAAAATTCAAATTGTTCATTCTACAAATACATATTTACTAGTTTAAATTCCTATCCCGTTGCAAACAAGTTTATATACACCCGATAACAACGTTTTTTCTGTAAATTTAACTGTAATAATAATAATAATAATAATAATAATAATAATAATAATAATAATAATAATAAAGTTTATAATAATAAGAATTGGATATTATTGAAAAGCCTAAAGATAATAAAATAAAATTTTGCTTTTTACTTGTAATCCTGTATTATTAAGAAAGATTAACTGAAATTTGTTATGTCAATGTAGGAGGAAACATGGTTTCTTTATACTTTTGTCTGAAATAAGGGAGATAATTCGCCACTTCCGGTCTGAAAAAATAGCTTATGTCACACTAAATCCAACTATTTATGGTTTCTATAAACTTTTGCTGAAATAGGGTAAATAAATTGCAACTTCCGGTTAATTTAATTTCACTTACCGGTACTAACGGATAGGTAACTTCAGACTGATTCCACAAAATATATGGTTTTAGGTATTTGTAAATGAAATCAGTACATGAATGGCTACTTTCGGTTTAGGCTTACCTTTTCAATGTCATATATCTACCAACCTAATGTTGACCATACGCTATAAATGTATTGTTGTGGGATATATAATTGTGCATGTTTTTTTTAAAGAGCATACAAATTAAACATGCTACATCAAAGAACAAACGATCAGTATGCTGAGTTTCTCATTGACAACATATTTGATGAAGTTGGAGGTCGATTTTTTTCTGCAGATTGTCGGCATTCCTATGAGAACCAACTGTTCGCCTCTCCTTGTTATCATTTTCTTATTTCCATAAGAGTCTTCGGAGATCCTTCTGAAACTTTAAAAAAAAACAAGACGATCAAAGAAGCTATATCATTTTACTTCAATTACAGGTATAATGATGATGGTTTTTTTTCCATTTAAAATCCAAACTTTTCTGATTGGGTCCCATAAATTTATCCTCCTGAACTAAAGATTTAAGAAATCACTGATACAGCTTCCACCTTATTTCTAGGCGTTTACTTCGAATTTAACAACAGCGCTCATCTCAGTATCAAAATATATGACAAACGAGACGATATAATTTTAAAATTATAAATTGTTCCCACCTTAGCTGCAGTATAAAAACTTCACCCGTGTATGGAGTATGTATTTTCAACTCATAAAATATTGAAGAACTTGCAACTGCTTCACAGACTTTGTAAAACGTCATCGGTGTCTGAGAAATAAAATATTCAGCCAGGGTTTTGTCAAAGAACGGCTCGTCCTCTTTGAAAAAGTTCACTGGAAAGTACAAAGACCTAATAGATAAATATCCAGTTTCTACTTCACAAACAATACAAGATGGTCTTGAGTTAAGGATTCTAGGAGCTGAAATTGTTGGTCTTTTTATTTACTTTACAGTTTTCCCTTCGTGCCATTGTGTTTCATTTGTTCGCCTGACTTTTGACGTGACTCGATATTTATGCATCCCGCTATCGGGTTTATGGATTTGGGAGAGTCCTCGTGTTTGCTTCGGACGCAAGAGGGTTTTACAGTGGTGTTCCGTTTTGTTTACCATTGTATTTATATTTTACTTAATTTGTACGTTATCGAAAAAGTGTATACAATATACGGTATATACTATCAACTACAAAAACAACTGTTTATCGGCGTCTTGTCAATATATACTATCATGCAACCTCAAACGAAAATTTGACAACGTCTTTGTCAAATTTACTAAACACTTCATCAACCTTTTTGTTGGCTTTATTTGTATGTTTGTTTGAATGGTTAGTCAGTTGTATTGTATGTCTGTTGCGTATGTTTACACAGATTTGGCTGCCGGATTTCAATTGTTGTCACATTAACCATTTACGTCTGTTTGGGTTGCTCACCTAATTTTGTCAATATAACGGAACTATATACACAACTGTCAAACAATTTGGAGGTTAGGCTAGCAATAAAACCAGGTTCAACTCTTTTTTCTTCGGAAAATGTCTGTACCAAAACAGGAATATCACAGGGTTTTTTTTCTCTCGTACCGATGGTTGATCACGTTTGATTTTTTCCGTTTTTTTTTTTTGTGGCTTTCCCCTTTTGCATTTACCTTAGAGTTTAGTATTTGTGTGATACTTTTTTGTATAAGGAAATCTTCACCAACAGGATGGGTGTTTAAATGCCAAAAATATTTTAAAAGCAACAACGCATTAAAAATGAATAGTTTATAAACCAATACTGGTTAACTAAGGCTCCGATAATGTTGCTGCGATGTTTTCTTTCGCTTGCTATCCATCGTAGCATACAGTTATAGGAAGGGGAGAATGACAAAAGTATTGACTGGAGTTAATTTTCTAAATAACATGTAGTTAAACATTTATTTCAAGGGACGAGGAAGAACAATAATACTGTGCATACATTATATACATGTGCGTTCACAGAAATCTAAGATATGAAACATGTGATTATAAAAAAGAAGATGTGGTATGATTGCCAATGAGACAACTGTCCACAAGAGACTAAATGACACTAGGTCACCAATGAGCAAAGCCCACACCGCACAGTCAGCTATAAAAGGCCCCGAAATGACAATGATAAACAATTCAAACGAGAAAACTAACGGCCTAATTCAAGTACAAACAATGAACGAAAAACAACTAATTGTCTGCCTCTATCCAAAATTCTCTCTTTTTCGGCATGCATTTTAAAGTACTGACATCTATCCCAGTTTGCAATACCTACTGTGTCTCGTTTAATATATATATATCGCTTTATTCATTTGTTCTCGTCCTAAGTATACGTGACATATCTACCACTGGGCGGTAAACATACAACACATCAATCACTTCAAGATATGCAATGGTTTATAAAACAGAAAAAATCTTGGTTTTATTTATAAAAGTTCCCTCAAAAATAATATACTAAATCGTTTAAATTAACAAACTCCCTCTATACATTTATCAACTGACTTTGTTCTGTAATAGTTTCCTTACAATCTTGTCTAGTCCAACATAACTTAGATTATTTATATCCCTACTACTAACACGTGGTTGTAACACGTAAAACAACACGGCTATTACACCTCCCATGAATATCATAAACTCCATCCGGGTAAACATCTCATGACTCGTGGACGATATATCTGAAATTAGAACAAAAATAATTATATTAAGGTAAATTTACTCATGGATAGGTTCCACAGATACGATGTATCTAAAATTGTAACAAAATCTATGTATGATATGCACCCAAAGTGTATACTAGTATTAATTTTGCGGATAGTTTAATATAGTGTAATCATGGGTCGTGGACGATATATTTGGAAATGGAACGAAAGCAGTGAAACAAGTGTCAATTTTATATTTTGAATACCAAACAACACTGAACACTCACGAATTATTCAAAAATTATGTTTTATTTGCTAATAAAATCAAGATAAATATGACTGCATGTGCTCTCTATGACAACATTATTACAATACATAGAAAAACACAAACACAAAGCTTGATTTAAGTCACAATTTCGTTGATATAAGATAACTGTAATTATAATAATTGAAAACTTCTTTTTTTATATAACTTAATTGTTAAGTGGTGGCGTTGATCATGTGCTTCAATCCAATGTGATAAAAAACAATTACATTTTTTTAAGTTTTGCGTACTATGCTTTATAATGATTTGTTTTTTTGTTTATTATGTGGTAACCGAAAATTAAAAAAAATAATGATAAAAAAAACTATACAAGCAAACAAACAAACAAACAAACAACAAACTAACAAGCATACACCATTTGCATTGTTTTCTGGAAATTCAGTAACTTCAATAATTTGGTATTTTTTTATATTATAGACGTCGGCCAGCGATTTCATGGACTTTTGATTTAAATAGAAATAATTTCCGATTTCTGTATCTTGGCAGGACAAGTGCCAGTTCTTACCTTTAAATGGTGCTTTTGGATCGTCTACTTGCTGTTGCATGTGCCAGATATATGTCGCAATCAAAACACAAGTGCCAAATAAAACTGGAAGAATGTTTATAGATTCACTTTCTAATATTTGATGCAATAGGTATCCCATCATGAGATACCCGGATGTCTCTAAAACTGTGTTTGTACATATCACGTGATTGTATAATAAGTATAACACTGTCACAGAAGCTAAACCAGACATAGATGACACTAGCGTAAAAGTTCCCAAGTTAGAATGATACGTGAATTCTAGAATCGGCACAATCACAATAGTTCCGGCAAAAAATATACCAATAGCTCTCAAACGTAGTGTGACCTTGATATTTTGATCTTTAAAATGTTTCAGGCATATCAGCTTTAACACAGTTGCAAATACAGAGGAAAACGATAAGTAATCTATTCTTTTCATGGTGAAATCTTTATTTACACCGAGCGTTACAAACAATGCGCCTAAAGACAGCAAACCAGTGGTTACCATGGTGATATGCTGTAATCGAGATCCTTTACAAATAACTAGACAGATTAGTACAATGATTGGTATTAGAGATGGATATATGTCTGTCCCTCTGTCTCCAAGATGTACAATGTTGTAATACTTCAACAAAGCACTTGATAGTACACGAAGGAAAAAGAAAATTGTAATCGATTCTGAATTTTCAACAATCAGTCGGAACTCCTCTGTTTGAAATGCTACTAGAATAAACACCAGTTCAATGACTGCTGATGCCAGTAGACTTTTTATGATCCATTTGTCTCCAAACAGATCATCTCCTTCTGTCAAACATTTAGTACCGTTCCATTGTAAAAATAAACTCCCAAAAATTAGTCCAACTATCGCAAGTTGTTTCAATCTCGGTTCTAACTTCCTGAAATGAAAATTAAAAAAATAAATATTCATTGATTTGGAAAACTAACCCTTTTAATGCATTGACAAAAAACGTATATGTCGAGGAGAAAATAACAAAAACTTGGCAAAAAAAAAGACGAAAAAGACAAACAAGTCCACACAAGTCTACAAATGAAACCAAAGAATGAGTTACACAAGCCCAACCTAATCCCTACATAGGACACTAAAGAATGAGTTACACGAGCCCCATCTTATCCCTACATAGGACACTAAAGAATGAGTTACACTAGCCCCACCTTATCCCTACAATTGACACTAAAGAAAGAGTTACACGTGTCCCACATTATCCCTACATAGGACACTAAAAGAATGAGTTACACGAACCCCACCTTATCCCTACATAGGACACTAAAGAATGAGTTACACGAACCCCACCTTATCCCTACATAGGACACTAAAGAATGAGTTACACGAGCCCCACCTTATCCCTATATATGACATTAAAGAATGAGTTACACGAGCCCCACCTTATCCCTACATAGGAAACCAAAGAATGAATAACACGAACCCCACCTTATCCCTACATAGGACACTAAAGAATGAGATACACGAACCCCACCTTATCCCTACATAGGAAACCAAAGAATGAGTAACACGAACCCCACCTTATCCCTACATAGGACACTAAAGAATGAGTTACACGAGCCCCACCTTATCCCTACATAGGAAACCAAAGAATGAGTAACACGAACCCCACCTTATCCCTACATAGGACACTAAAGAATGAGATACACGAGCCCAACCTTATCCCTACATAGGACACTAAAGAATGAGTTACACGAGCCCAACCTTATCCCTACATAGGACACTAAAGAATGAGTTACACGAGCCCCACCGTATCCCTACATAGGACACTAAAGAATGAGATACACGAACCCCACCTTATCCCTACATAGGACACTAAAGAATGAGTTACACGAGCCCCACCTTATCCCTACATAGGAAACCAAAGAATGAGATACACGAGCCCAACCTTATCCCTACATAGGACACTAAAGAATGAGTTACACGAGCCCAACCTTATCCCTACATAGGACACTAAAGAATGAGTTACACGAGCCCCACCTTATCCCTACATAGGACACTAAAGAATGAGTTACACGAGCCCCACCTTATCCCTACATAGGACACTAAAGAATGAGTTACACGAGCCCAACCTTATCCCTACATAGATAACCAAAGAATGAGTAACACGAGCCCAACCTTATCCCTACATGGGACACTAAAGAATGAGTTTATACACGAGCCCCACCTTATCCCTACATAGGACACTAAAGAATGAGTAACACGAGCCCAACCTTATCCCTACATAGGAAACTAAAGAATGAGTAACACGAGCCCAACCTTATCCCTACATAGGACACTAAAGAATGAGTTACACGAGCCCCACCTTATCCCTACATAGGACACTAAAGAATGAGTTACACGAGCCCCACCTTATCCCTACATAGGACACTAAAGAATGAGTTTATACACAAGCCCCACCTTATCCCTACATAGGACACTAAAGAATGAGCAACACGAGCCCAACCTTATCCCTACATAGGAAACCAAAGAATGAGTAACACGAGCCCAACCTTATCCCTACATAGGAAACCAAAGAATGAGTAACACGAGCCCAACCTTATCCCTACATAGGACACTAAAGAATGAGTTACACGAGCCCCACCTTATCCCTACATAGGACACTAAAGAATGAGTTACACGAGCCCAACCTTATCCCTACATAGGACACTAAAGAATGAGTTACACGAGCCCAACCTTATCCCTACATAGGACACTAAAGAATGAGTTACACGAGCCCCACCTTATCCCTACATAGGACACTAAAGAATGAGTTACACGAGCCCAACCTTATCCCTACATAGGACACTAAAGAATGAGTTACACGAGCCCAACCTTATTCCTACATAGGACACTAAAGAATGAGTTACACGAGCCCAACCTTATCCCTACATAGGACACTAAAGAATGAGTTACACGAGCCCCACCTTATCCCTACATAGGACATTTAAGAATGAGTTACACGAGCCCCACCTTATCCCTACATATAACATTTAAGAATGAGTTACACGAGCCCCACCTTATCCCTACATAGGACACTAAAGAATGAGTTACACGAGCCCCACCTTATCCCTACATAGGACACTTAAGAATGAGTTACACGAGCCCCACCGTATCCAAGAGGTTTGGATGTTAGAGCGCGGAAACTGTTTATTCACACTATTTATTAATGTAATAAGTTAAACTTAACCTTAACTTGACCATGACTTTCAATGTATGTTTATGTTCCCTGAAACCGATTAACCTTTTGAGAAGTCGTGAATAATCAAGCTAAGTTTCTTTATATAATAAGAATGGGGTTTGAAAGTTAGAGAGCTGAAACGAATTATTTGCTTATGCACAGTAGTGACTTAGTTGAATCAAGTTTTTACCTTTAAACCATTGTACGTTTTTTCCGAGTACGCGATACAATGTGTAGTATTGGTAAATAACCATGTCAAGTGTTATTACCAACTTAAATTAGTTTGATGGTAAGGGGACAGAAACGATGAAACGATGTTTGCAAAATGATGACTAAGTTGACCAAATTTTTTTATCATGCCCCTCATTATTGGGTTTTCTGCTATGTTTGTGATACACCCTCTAGCAGTGATGGATATGCATGTCAAGTTTCATATCCGAACTCCAAGGAGTTTGAAAGGTAGAAAACACAATTTTTGACGGATTGACTGACGGACGGACGAACTGTTTGCGTAACGGACACACAGACGGATGGATAGACAAGCTAATTAATGTAAACACTGACATACGACCGCAAACAAAAAACCAGACGTACAAAAAGCAAAGAACAATGTATTGTCTGATTTGTCTGACTTGATACAGACATGCATGTGTTGGGGTATCACTCCTCATGTAAGTTTAGTAGAAACGATCCGGGAATTATTATACAATATACATTTAATTTGTAATTTTTTTAAAATCATGAAAAATCTCCATTATATGACATCACATTAATTGTTTGGATTTTATACTAATAAAATATCTTATCTTATCTTATCATTTTTGAAATCCATTTACATGTTTGTCATTTTTATATCATACTTTTTATTATTTTTTTAGTAGTAAAAAATCATCGAAGTGATCGATTGTTGTACAGTGAATGTACTGTACATACCATGTCTCATATCATGAATATGTGATAGTGTGCCATACAGTATACCTTCATATCCACTGTTACTTATCTTAAGTCCCGAATGGATACGATATCGTTGATTATTTGAAACTTACATCATTGCAGGCATCATATAGTTAACTTATATCAACCCTCCATATATTTATCTAAAGTTTCGAATGAATATGATATCGTTTATCAATTGATACTTACACCACTTTGGGTATCACATAGTTGACCAGTATCAGTACTCCATATACCAAATGTGAGTCTCGAATGTATATGATATCATTTATAAATTGATACTTGAACCACTTTAGGTATCATAATGTTGACTAATATCAGCCCTCTATATACCAAATTTAAGTCTCGAATGTATACGATATCGTTTATAATTTGATACTTACATCACTTCGGGCATCATATATAGTTAACTAATATCAGCCCTCCATACATTTATCTTAAGCTTCGAATGTATACGATATCGTTTATAACTTAGTACTTACATCATAAACGTTGGTTCTTGTTTCATACCGTTCCCTTATTCTTCACAAAAATGGATGGTTAAACCCATTGATCTTATATATGATCATATATCTACAATAAACAAAAACACATACGGTGACTTATAGCTATCAACAAAAATCATGGATAATATAATATAAGTCAATGCCTTTGTTAAAACATGATTTTAAATGTTTTATTTTATTTACTTTAAACATTACAACAGATTTCCATGTAATTTACCTAATGGATATACTGATTAAAATTGTCAAGGGTTTAAACTTGATTATACCATACATTAAGCAAAATAAAACTATCATGGTGACTTACAGCTACATGTATCAACAAAACTATGGATAATATAACATAAATCTATACCTTTGTAATTCAGTTGTTGTCGTTTGTTTCTGTATGTTATATTTGTTTTTCGGTCATTCATTTGAATACAGAAGTCAGGCTCCTAAAACAGATATATCAGATTTTCTACCACCCATCAGCTGATAGAATTGTATAATACAATTTTACTTGCTTTGGAAGCTAAATAAGTAACCAGTATGACCTTTTGCTGATATAAGCAAAGCGTTTGATACCGTATGGATTAGGGCTCTTTTGCTTAAGCTTGAAAAGTATGGTATCAAGGGTGACCTCTTAAGTTGGCTTGGAAGTTACTTTTCGTATCGTACTCAGAGAGTTATGGTAAGGGATGCGTTATCTAATGCTGGTAAATTGAAAGTAGGTGTGCCTCAGGGATCTGTTTTGGGGCCTATATTATTTCTTATTTTTATAAACGATATCACAGATGATATTATAGGCTTTGGACGATTATTTGCTGATGACACATCGATAGGTCATGTAGCGTCAAACGGAATTTCTTTGCAGAACAATATTAACTCTGATTTGACTCATTTAAAGGAATGGTCAGACAGATGGGTGATAAAATTTAACCCAAATAAAACTGACATTATGGTCTTCAATGTCAGGGGCACTGGTTGTAATTTGTCGTTTGAATTTGACCAAACAACACTTCATCCAGTAAATCTTCATAAGTATTTGGAAGTTGTGTTTAGTAGCGACTGTGGGTGGACTAAACATATTGATAAATTATTAGAATCAGTTTCAAAACAACTGAATGTATTTAGGAAACTAAAATATAAACTAAAGAGGAATTATCTACAAAATATTTACCTTGCGTTTATAAAGCCTATACTAGAATATGCCTCTGAAGTTTGGGATAATTATGGGCAAATGAACTCTGATAGACTGGAAAGGGTCCAAAACGTTCTTCACACAAGATTAAGAAATGAGTGTAGTTCATTAAATGGTGATTTATTTCGTTGAAATTTGGTTCCTGATCCATCATGTTTATGTCGTTATAGAAATGAAAGTGTAGGACACTATTTGTTTGATTGTAACAGATACACTTTACATAGAAATACTTTATTTGGAGAGCTAACTCTGTTGGACTTAGGCGATTTACAACTAAATACTGATATTTTATTATATGGTAACGAACTCCTTACCACCGAAATAAATACTGCAATTTTTTTAATGTTCATAAATATATAAAAGATACTGGACGTTTTCCTTCTCATAACAAACCATTGTAATTGTAATGATAATAGTTACACATACTTATCGCATGGTCATATCTATCACCTTTGTTTAGCGAAATAAACTTTGCGAATCGATGAAATAATGGCAAACTTTGAAGCCTAAGTAATTTTATAATAGCTATTAAACACATAGATTGTACTTACAGTCTAGAACTATGTATATAAATCCTTTTTTTTCAAAACTTATATCGAAGTTGATTAACCTTCTATTCCGTGCACAATGATACACTATGTTATGCGTTACGTCAAGTAGAACACCTAATGATCAAAAGGTGCGTTCGATTAGTTGTGTAAAATCATCGACTCGCAAAGTTTTATATACCTAAACCAATTTCCACTTCATTTTCAACGTCTTCATACGATATAAAAAAGTATACATGTATATATATATTGTATATTTCTTTTAATGTTCATTTATTTGTAAATTGTGTATGACTTTTTGTACTGGAGAAGACATTACTAAGTTGTAAAACTTGTGTCTCATCCATTTGTTTAGATTCTGAACAATAAAATATGTTTAAACAAACAGATATATTTTGCTTTTCTGCTAAACACACAAACGTTACGCACGCTGTTCCTACAACCCATAGGATTTAAAAAAGAATCTTCGACATTTCCTCCGCAAAACAAAAACAAATGTTAGCAAACACTAACCACTATAAAAACAAATTCAGTATATTTTTTTCAATAATGTTCTTATAGCTCTTGGTCATATGCTTAGTAATATCTAGTATATTTGAGGATTAAAACAACAAAGCTATATGTGAAAAAAACGGATGTCCAACGTTACATTTTTGAACAACTGTTTTAACTCTTATGTATAGTGATCCTTTTTCTTATTCTCTGATCTTCCTGAAACTTGGCGAGAACAAAGACATGTGTCGGTTCTTTGTGACAATTAAGTCATTATTTTGTCAAATTTCATTTGACTCGGCGGCTGCATATTAAGCTGGAATAAGAAAAATGTCCAACGACGTTTTTCGTTGACTCAACGACTGAAAGTGTATTTTATAAGTAGATATAGAAGAAAATGTCTAAAAATGGTAGGATAATAATAACATCTACAGATGGACAAGAACACATAAGCAATCATAACAAGAGCAAAAACACATTAGCAATCATTATAAGGATAAGAGAAGAACACATTTGCAATCATTACAAGGACAGGGACAAGAACACATTGACAATCATTACAAGGACAAGAACACATTAGCAATCATTACAAGGACAAGAACACATTAGCAATGATTATAAGGACAAGACAAGAACACATTAGCAATCATTACAAGGACAAGAGAACACATTTGCAATCATTACAAGGACAAAAACGCATTTACAATCACTACAAGACAAGAACACAATAGAAATCATTACAAGGATAAGAACACATTAGCAATCATTACAAGGACAAGAACACATTAGCAATCATTATAAGGACAAGACAAGAACACATTAGCAATTATTACAAGGACAAGAACACATTAGCAATCATCACCAGACAAGAACATATAAGCAATCATTACAAGGACAAGACAAGAACACATTAGCAATTATTATAAGGACAAAAACGCATTTACAATCACTACAAGACAAGAACACATAAAAAAAATCATTACAAGGACAAGAACACATAACCAATCATTACAAGGACAAGAACACATAAGCAATCATTAGAAGGTCAAGACAAGAACACATTAGAAATCATTACAAGGACAAGAACACATAAGCAATCATTACAAGAACAAAAACACATTAGCAATCATTATAAGGACAAGAGAAGAACACATTTGCAATCATTACAAGGACAGGGACAAGAACACATTGACAATCATTACAAGGACAAGAACACATTAGCAATCATTATAAGGACAAGACAAGAACACATTAGCAATCATTACAAGGACAATAACACATTAGCAATTCTAACAAGGACAAGAATACATAAGCAATCATTATAAGGACAAGAGAACACATTTGCAATCATTACAAGGACAATAACACATTAGCAATTCTAACAAGGACAAGAATACATAAGCAATCATTATAAGGACAAGAGAACACATTTGCAATCATTACAAGGACAAAAACGCATTAACACTACAAGACAAGAACACATTAGAAATCATTACAAGGATAAGAACACATTAGCAATCATTACAAGGACAAGAACACATTAGCAATCACTACAAGGACAAGAACACATTAGCAATCATTATAAGGACAAGACAAGAACACATTAGCAATTATTACAAGGATAAGAACACATTAGCAATCATCACAAGACAAGAACATATAAGCAATCATTACAAGGACAAGACAAGAACACATTCGCAATCATTACAAGGACAAAAACGCATTTACAATCACTACAAGACAAGAACACATAAAAAATCATTACAAGGACAAGAACACATTAGCAATCATTACAAGGACAAGAACACATTAGAAATCATTAAAAGGACAAGAACACATTAGCAATCATTACAAGGACAAGAACACATTAGCAATCATTATAAGGACAAGACAAGAACACATTAGCAATCATTACAAGGACAAGACAAGAACACATTATCAATCATTATAAGGACAAGACAAGAACACATTAGCAATCATTACAAGGACAAGAACACATAGCAATCATTACAAGGACAAGAATACATTAGCAATCATTATAAGGACAAGAGAAGAACACATTTGCAATCATTTCAAGGACAAGAACTCAATAGCAATCATTACATAAGTTAGGTTGTGCAGAGACAGAGATAAAGGTTGGGAAATGTGGACTGCCATTGAAAAAGTGAGGTTTCATACATGTTGGAAGGGGATTGGTCGGGGGAAAATTTGCCTTAAAGCAGGGATCTGAGGACCTTCAAAGTTTGTTGCAAAGGAATATTTTCACGTGCAGAGAGAGTAGAACTCTAGCTCCTTCCATGTGGCATCGTTTTATTGTGAAAATACATGGATAGTACCGACCAGATCCGTATCATCGGTCTAAAAGCAGCGCTCTTACCGAAAAGGCCAATGAAGAACTTCCCTGTTTCAACCAGTTAGACGACCAGATCCGAACCCTCGTACTAAAGGCAGTGCTCTTACAGAATAAGCCAAAGTCAACCCGTTTTCTTTTTAACGTCCTCATTTGTCCAGATGTTTAAGATGCACCGACCATTCACTTGTTGAGGGGAGGGGAGGGGAGGGGGAAAGCATGACAATTTTTCTCGGGACAAAACAAATGATTTCAACTTTTTCAATTTTTTCTACCACGGACATGACCAAGATATAAAAAAACCAAAAGATAGATGATGGTCGGTTCCAAAAATTAAAGAAAAAAAGAAATTTAAAATTACTCACATTTCATAATCGAATTATACAGACACGTATTTATCCATGACTACCACAGATGATCGTTGAACATTATTTGATGTCACTGTAACAGATGATGAAGACGTAAACATATATGTCACGTGACTGTCGTGATGATCTATTTACAAAAGATTGACGAAAATCTTTAACGAAAAACAAATCAATAGAAATCTGTTGGTTTTTAGACTTTAAATAGAAATATTGGTCGGGTTGTTGTCTCTTTGACACGTTCCCCCGTTTTCATTCTCTATTCTATCAATTGGTTTTCTCGTTTTATTGTTTAACATTTAGTCATGATGAAGCATTTTATAGATTACTCAAATTTGGGAATGGGTTTTGCTTATTGTTGAGGGTGGTATATATATCCGGTGATCCATGGTTCCTTACATCTACTTTATTTCGTCTTTGTTGTATCATTGACAATCACACCACATCTTCTTATCTTTGTAGGAATAAATGCAATCAAAACAAGTCTGGCTAGATTTCTAAAAAAAACTGTGTATACATATACGGTCTAAAAATACAGGCAAGATTTCTAAAACAAACTGTCTATACGTACGGTCTAAAAATACTGGCTAGATTTCTAAAAGACTGTGTATACGTACGGTCTGAGAATACTGACCAGATTTCGAACAGGCTGTGCATACATACGGTCTAAAAATACTGGCTAGATTTCTAAAACAAACTGTCTATGCGTACGGTCTGAAAATACTGGCTAGATTTCTAAAAGACTGTGTATACGTGCGATCTGAGAATACTGGCTAGATTTCTAAAAGACTGTGTTTACGTACGGTCTGAGAATACTGGCTAGATTTCTAAAATACTGGCCAGATTTCGAACAGACTGTGTAAAAGTACGGTCTGAAAATGCTGACCAGATATTGAATATACTTTATATAAGTACAGTCTGAGAATGCTGGTCTTGTCTAGACACGACACTCGATCTATTGTAGAGGAAAATCCGAACAAAATAAATATTACTTACCTTTCTTAGTACGTCACTACTGATCTGTTACGTATTTATTATCTCGATATTTGATTTTATTAAATGGAAGATATCGATGTATTGACTTTAACTATTAGTTGTAAGGTTACTTGAGCGCAGTCAGTTGTGACATGGGTTGTAAATGATTTAAAATATTTAATCCGACAAAACAAGGATGTAAAAAAATAATTGATGTTTCCGATATTTACAAAATATCTTACATCCTTAGCCTCACATCCTATTTCAAGTTTTTATCTCTCTTCCGAATAAATATTAAAAAAAAGTTGAGAAATATTTGTGAGATTGAATTTGGAGGCTGTATGAATTATAGTGTTAGTAGGTTCAATTTTGTGTTTAAAATTTAATTTAACAACAATCGTTGAGTTCCGTGACTGCTGCGATTAGTGTAAAAGTGTAATTAAGGTCTAAGGCTCACTGTCCCTATGTCTGTAAAATACAGAAAAAAATATTTAACTTTTTTTTTTGGTGCTTCATGTACTTCTTGATTATGAATAAAACTTAATTTCTTCTGCTATGCATGTGCTTATAATTTAGTTTTAGTGCTTTGCTTTTTTGTGCCGTGCTTTTATATATGTAAACATATGTTACTTCTAATGTGTGAGTTTTATGTGTTTTAATATTCTAAAAAAGTTACATTCGTTTCAAAAAAATACAAGGGAACGTTATACAGGCATAAAATGTACTTTTTTATTAAGTTTAATATATTAATCAAATAATTAGGTCCAATAAATAAATCTAGATAGCTGTGTTCATATCAAAATTAATTTTTATAAATAACCCTCCTTTTTGTGTATACATAGTTATTTCCCTTGCATGGACAACTTTTGGTTTAGTTTTGATTGGAAATCAGCGTGATAGTTTTTTTTTTTTGCATTATACAGCCAGTTTATTGCGATTTAAAGATAGTTTGACCATTTGCCATTGCACACGAGATAGTAAGGATACTGAATAATGTGGTTTAACAACAATCAATATATGTATTTTCAACATGTTCAACTAAAAACATACATAGGAATGATCCATCCATGCAGTAGTGGCAGTTCACTTCGTCTGCTATTCACAGTTAAGGTTTTAGAAAAAAAACCAACATGGCAATTCATTCCCTTGTCATCAATTCTCCCCCGTCTTCCATCCCATATTGATACAAGAAGATTCCCCTACCCCCCTTTCCCTGACTGCCACTTTCCAAGTTGAAAGTTATATTAATTATTATACAAATACTATTTGTCTTAGAATAATTAACATAACTTTCAAAATAATATTAATATGACCCTATTTTTCAGACTGTATTTAACAGTGCACTCTATATTATTTTTTGTATACATATTTTTGTGTGTGTGTGTGTGTGTGTGATCACATTAACTGAGTTGTTGAAATTTTCCCCACATATATGTTCTAAATACAATGGTATAATTAAATAAGGGAATGTAACGGACACTACCTTATCTACACATACAGACTGCTAGAGGATTATCGAGCCAAAAAACTTGAGATAATACAGGAGATGGTAGGTCTCAAACCATGTTCGAAGTTCTGTTCAAGATTCGTTTTGCATGTAGTTGCACTGGAAGTGCAATTTTTTAATATGATTTCAGCATGATCATGTATAGGAATACATGAACTAATCAAGTTTTACCTTGAAGCTTACCACTTTATGTATTGATCAGTATTGAAGTAATTTCATGTCGAGAAAAAAAAAACACTAGCTAACACCATGCAATTCAATATATATCCTGAAATAATAATTATATTACATCTTGGAAGCTAAAGTCTTACTAACAACTAATGCTTGATACAGTGAAACTAGTCTAAACCAAACCCTGAATAAACCGGAAACCATGTTCTGAAGTCCCTTCATCTCAGATTCAACATGTTCAATGCATTTTGAACTTCAGTCGTGAATGAGATTGGTTTACAGATTTCACTGTATAAATATTGTAACTGATGTACAGATATGAATTTACTTTACTTTTGTACATACAAGTATGTACAGTGATCTGACATAATTATTTTGTTTGAAATTTCTCAAATAAAAATAATGTTATATTTATTTTCATTGTCTTTCAGTGCAACAGGTATTTTAGACCTGTAGTATAATTGTTGGAAGGTTGTTGTTTATTTTTATTTATTAGCATTCACTATACATGCTATATAAGAATAAGAATATTTCATTAGATAGAATGTTAATGAAAAGGAACATTCTAAAACTATCATGACTTTACAAAGACAGATGACATACTTCAAAACTTTTCTCGTCTCTCATGGTACACACACACAAACCTATACATTTGTATATAAAAAGTAATATTCATATTTATATTTTGTTTCTCTACATTCAAATGTTTATAAAGTTTTACTTTTCAATATACCAACTGATGTTCTGAAGAAAGGAATATATAAAGGTATCGTCATGTTGTGTGACTTTGGACGATAGAATTTGCAATCAATACAAGGACAAGAACACAATAGCAATCATTACATAAGTTAGGTTGTGCTGAGACAGAGATAAAGGTTGGGAAATGTGGACTGCCATTGAAAAATGAGGGTTCATGCATGTTGGATGGGGGTGGGACGGGAGAAAATTTGCCTTGAAGCAGGGATCTAAGTACCCTCAAAGTTTGTTGCAAAGGAATATTTTCATATGCAGAAAGAGTAGAACTCTCCTTCCATGTGGCATCTTTTTATTGTGAAAATACATGGATAGTACCGACCAGATCCGTATCATCGGTCTAAAAGCAGCGCTCTTACCGAAAAAGCCAATGAAGAACGTCCCTGTTTCAATCAGTTAGACGACCAGATCCGAACCCTCGTACTAAAGGCAGTGCTCTTACAGAATAAGCCAAAGTCAAACCGTTTTCTTTTTAACGTCCTCATTCGTTCAGATATTTAAGATTCACCGACCATTCACTTGTTGAGGGAAGGGGAGGGGGAAAGCATGACAAATTTTCTCAGGACAAAACAAATGATTTCAACTTTTAAAAATAAAATATTGTTTTCAATCACGGACATGACCAAGATATAAAAAAAAAAAAAAGATAGATAGATGACTGGTCGGTGCCTAAATTAAAGAAAAAAAGAAATTTAAAATTACTCACATTTCATAATCGAATTATACACGTATTTATCCATGACTACCTCAGAAGATCGTTGAACATTATTTGATTTCACTGTAACAGATGATGAAGACGTCAACATATATGTCACGTGACTGTCGTGATGATTTATTTACATATTATTACTGGTATTTCTTACTATACAAATCCTTGAATGGTACAACTAGATTTTTTTTGATCGAGCATACCTTTTCATTGGTATAAAGAATTTTACAAGCATTATGTTATAATAATCTAAATATGTGTCTAAACTTTAAAATATGTACCTAAAACAGGGTAAAACATTCATATCTCATTATAATGATCTCATCCTGAACATTCATTTAACTTGCCACTGGACGTTAAAGACCATTCATAAACATGTACCCCCAAAACCCCTAAAATGCTCTAAAAAAATCATTTTTTTTATTCGCATATGTATATATTGATATGGGCTACTGAAATATTGTATATTTTGTCATTAAGATATCAGATATCAGTTAGTTTGCTACTGAAAATGGAAATGACTAAACATCAAAATGTTTTTAAGTTCTGTTTCTTAAACTACAAGCACTGTCGAAATAAATCTTAAAATGTACATGTATAATGGTACTCACATTTCCTTTTCCTTTTCATTGGGCTCCATTTTGCGTATAAATAACGTTTGAATAAAAAAAAAATAGCCCTTTTTATGTACCCGGCTGAAGCCCTTGCAAAATCTGGTACTGCACGTCCACACGGGGTTGTAGAAAAGTATGCAGTCTTTAAATAAACAATCAATTAATTTGCAATCATTGATTAGAGATCATAGGGGTATTTCCTCTCATCTTAGATATACTGTTTAACATGTTTGTAACAATGATAACTATCAAGAGCACCACACAATCGCATAAACCTAAAGGGTCGAATTCTTAAGTCCTATTGGGCTAAAAATATATTATTTCGCTTTGATTTCGTTGTATTTCGTTTCTTCAAGTCATTTTCTTTTTCGTCTCGTTTCCTTATATTTCGTTGCGTTTCGTTATATTTCGTTCCGTTTCGTTCCGTTTCTCACTTTATAGGATGAAGAAGTGTTATGGCTCGCATTTGCAACTTTCGTCGCAGGCGACATAAGCAAATTACAGCTTAGACTATATATAGTAGTCTCAGATCACGGTAACAAATGTTCTAACGGGTTTTTTTTCTAGATTCAGTATAAGTATTTGAACATAACTCGAATAATTCTGCGCCCTCTATCCACTACTTTTCTGGAGTGATCGTAGTGATCGTAATATAACGACTGGATTATTCGGGTTAATTTGAACACTGATTTTTTAATGTACATGTGAAGTTCGCGGCCGGTTCGTTATTCGTTATTCGATATTCAATATCCAACCGGCTGCTAGCAGTTGATTCGATATTCAAATTTTATGAGTTTAATATAATAAAAATTCAAACATTCGATAACATTAAAAGCATGAAAGTGATTAATTAAAAGTAGTAAAAATTAAGAGATGTAATTCTCTCAAAAATAAACCCTTATGTAAATCGAATATTTCTCTTTATGGACTTTAGATATTTATCAATAAAATATAATCAAATATGTACATTTAAAAGATATTTAAAAAATATATATGTCTCTGATCAAATATAGTTGACCTATTGCTTATAATATCTGAGAAACAAATAAAGTTGCAAAAACTACATTGACCAATGAATAAGGTCAAGGTCAGATGAAACCTGTCTGACGGACATGTAGACCTTGCAAGGATCACATGTATAAAATATAGCTATCGCTCATAATAAGTGAGTATATCACATGACAAAGAAAACTAAATTTGTTAAGCAATTCCTAACCATTAAAATGAGGTCATGGACAATGGACATACGACAGACAGAAAATTTATTCGTAGAATAAGGTATATGCATACAATGTATAAACCAGCCAGGTCTTCTAGCTACAATCTGAAATATTAAGCTTTACACTAAAAAGCACAGGCATCTTAAAAAATATCTAATATACCTGCTTTTCAGAGACAAGTGAAACAAGAGGCTCTCAAGAGCCTGAATCGCTCACCTGTATTTCAGAGGAGAAGATTTTTAAATGTTAGCAAACTTGAAGAACTAATTGTGTAAAATTGTCTTTAAAGGGCAATAACTCCTTAAGGGGTCAATTGACAATTTTGGTCATATTAACTTTTTTGTAGATCTTACTTTGCTGAACATTATTGCTGCTTACAGTTTATATATATCTATAATAATATTCAAAATAATAACAAAAAACTGCAAAATTTTGTTAAAACTACCAATTCGGTGGCAGCAACCCAACAATGGGTTGTTCGATTCGTCTGATAATTTCATGGCCGATAGATCTTGACCAATTAAACAATTTTACCCCATGTCACATTTGCTATAAAAGATTTAGTTTTTGAGATATAAGCCAAAAACTGCATTTGACCCTTATGTTCTATTTTTAGCCATGGCGGCCATGTTTGTCGATGGATACAAACTTCGGATACAATTTAGAAACAAGATACCCTAAGTAACATTTAGTTAAAGTTTGAAGGTAATTTTGGCCCAGTAGTTTCAGAGGAGAAGATTTTTAAATGTTAGCAAACTTGATGAACAAATTGTGTAAAATTGTCTTTAAAGGGCAATAACTCCTTAAGGGGTCAATTGACAATTATGGTCATGTTAACTTTTTTGTAGATCTTACTTTGCTGAACATTATTGCTGCTTACAGTTTATATATATATCTATAATAATATTCAAAATAATAACAAAAAACTGCAAAATGTTGTTAAAACTACCAATTCGGTTGCAGCAACCCAACAATGGGTTGTTCGATTCGTCTGAAAATTTCAGAGCTGATAGATCTTGACCAATTGAACAATTTTACCCCGTAACAGATTTGCTCTAAAAGCTTTAGTTTTTGAGATATAAGCCAAAAACTGCATTTGACCCCTATGTTCTATTTTTAGCCATGGCGGCCATGTTTGTTGATGGATCAAAACTTCAGATACAATTTATAAACTAGATACCCTAAGGAACATTTAATTAAAGTTTGAAGGTATTTGGCCCAGTAGTTTCAGAGGAGAAGATTTTTGAAATAGTTTACGACGACAGACGACGACGACGGACGCCAAGTGATGGCATAAGCTCACATGGGGCCCTTCGGGCCCCGGTGAGCTAAAAAGGATGAATTTGGCTATTCGTTGTATGTCCCTTAAGTCATTTAACTCCTAACGTTTCTACATATCTATAAATCACTGACTTTCAAATATTCAGGTTTTATCATTCCCGATGATGAAGATAGATCCAAAAAGGTGCCCAAGATGCATGATATGTATATAGTGTTAATTTAATCTAATAAGGTTAATTGCTGAAGTTGGTCAAAAGCAGTCATTTGAAGGTTGAAAGTTTCAATCGTATATGTAATATTCTAAGTTTACAATTTTTGTTCATCTCTTTAAAAAATTCAAAAAAATCTCATTTACTCAAATAAGATGAAACAAAATTATAGTGTCTAGATATAAGAAGATATGTGGTATGAGTGCCAATGAGACAACTCTCCATCCAAGTCACAGGCTGCACATTAGACAAAACTCCCATGAAATATTATAAATTTTCCCACACAAGTAGATATATATAAATTTTAAAAGGTGAATCTAGGGAGTTATAATTTACAAAAAATTAAAAATAAAGACATGAAGGACCCTAGTCCGAGATTACTCTGACGTCCAACGGCTATTTTGCCAGACAAGCTGGGGTCCCACGGCCCCAGCTTGTCTGGCAAAACAGCCGTTGGACGTCAGAGTAATCTCGGACTAGAAGGACCCATAATCCAGACCCTCTTATTAATAAATATTAGCATTAGTAAACCATAAAAGATCACAGTACTTATGACAAAAACTGAAACAATTCAAACGAGAAAATCAATGGCTTGTTCTATGCTAAAATAAATCAGTGATGATGCACAAAAACAACTAACAAATAGCCATTTCTACTTACCCTTCGGGAGCACCTGAGATCACCAGTAATTTTTGGTGGGGTTCATGTTGCTCAGCTTTTGTTGTGTTTTGTGTACTAATGTTTGTCCTTATTTCGTTTGGTCTTTTTCTTTTTTAGTCATGGCGTTGTCAGTTTATTTCTTCAACTTATTAGTTTGAATGTCCCTCTGGTATCTTTCGCCTCTCTTCTAGAAGAATTCTTGAATATGTATGCAAATTTTCTACCTTTGATGATATATGTGTTCGTATAACATGTTGAAGAGAAAAACCTAGTTTCATTTTTAGAGGATTTCTATTTGCTATGCTTTTCAACATGCAAAAGTCAGAATAGTCCATCATAATTATAACTAGATACTAGGTGATCTAGTGATCGCAGCAACAGAGAAATCATGATTTTGTTAGTTATCCATATCATTCCATTAAAATTTCAATCAAAATGATGAAACTCAAACTTCACCCGTGTTTGGTGGCCCAAAACATTCCATTTAAATTTAAATCAATTTGAATAAACCGCTTCGCTGAGTGCAGCTGGATACGACCGCAGAGGTCCAACCCTGAACAGTTGGGACAAAAATGGACACAATATTCAAGCTTGTTACAGGTTTGAATTTGGATTGTAATTAAATATTTGACACATTATAGGTTTCTGACACAGAATAAATGTAGTCAAAGAACTGGAAATTGGTTATATGATTTGAATTTACATTCAATTGAAGATTTCTTGCTTTGTGCAATACACTAGTACTGTGCTGTTGCGCAATATTAAGTGTAAACAAGGAATTATTTAAATCTGGAATAATTTTGAATTCTGGAAAATTAATAAGAAATATATGATGAAAACTAACTAGTTCATACTGAAATATCAGTGAGAAGTAAAATTAACCTTAGCCATGCCTGCATTGCTAACCCTCTTTAGTTAGGTTAGTTTTCATCTTACATTTCTTATGGATTTTCTAGAATTCAAAATTATTCCAGATTCAAATAATTCCTTGTTTGTATCTGTTTTCAGACTATATACAAAGAATTAGCAAAATAAATTGTGACCCCCATTTTTCTTTGAAAAATTGACAATTTCTTAAATCTTGAGGGAAAAAAATTGACCCCCCCCAATAAAAAATTTCGTGACTGAACAATACTGATAATTAACTCATGCGCTATATATGCCCATTCGTGAATTAATGTGTTGTTCGGTCACTCGTTGAATATTCTTCTCTATTTGAATTCTTCAATTAGTTATTCTATAATTAATCATGTTAATTTTCTGAAAACCAAAAGATTTTGAATTTTTCCAACAATTAAGTGCCATTATTCTGGAATACAAGAAGTAAATAATAATCATGATAATATACTTATATGATTAAATTTGTTATATTCATATATTTTCTTGAAAGGTTTGAATAATGTCCCCTTAATTTTTTTTAAAAAAAATTTCTTGTATAAGTATTTTTTCATTACAATCCATAAACAGTGACGGATCCAAAAGGGGGGTGGGGGTTCCAACATTGACGATCAATACATTTTTATGGGGACATATGGTTGGAACCAATTTTAACCCTCTACCCTGGGTTGGGAACCCTCCTCCATTTCAAAAATGGCTGTATCCGCCCCTGATTAAATTCTCAAGTTTTGGAATCTAAAAACATGCCTAAAACAATTTATCTCTGGTAAGTTGATAATTTTTTGTTTTGAGTTCAAGGTTTCGTCTCATTAATTCAACAAAGAAACTAATTGCGCAAGAGCTTAAGTAATTGGCCTGACCTTCTAAAACTGCCCCTTGGAGGCTTGTAAATAAGTAGTGTTTTGAAGATAACAGACAAATGAGATTATCATTGTCCATGAAATTACACTTAAATGATTACGGTAGTAAAGACATCTGCAAAGGACAGACAATTAAAAATTCTATTAGAGCAAAGAAGTCCTGAGAAATTCAAGAAAAAAAGATAGTAATACTTTTTTACTTGTATAAGTAAAGAAATCTAAATGTCTAAGGGACATAACTTAGCCATTAAAATAATTTGCCTATACAAGTAAATAAAATACACTTGTATAAGTATCTTACAAATTTACTTATATAAGTATATTAATATTTACTTCTTCTAGTAACTAAAAATAACTTGTACAAGTAAGTACCCCTGACTGTAGTAATATTGAAAACAACAAAAATAAAACTTAACCTGTCTTTATAGTGGTCCAAAACATTCTACTAAAATTTGAACTACTTTCATAAAGCTGCTCTTTATTTATCATTTGGAAACCTGATGGACAAAAGACAGACGGACGGACATGATAATACACCATCTTCCCTCCAGGAGAGGAGGAGACCTGTACATGTAGGTCCAACAGAACTCATAACTCAAAATGGTTCCAATGACAGAAATAATATCAATATGTTTAGTACCTTTTCTAATAGTACTGTGGATTCATATATATTTCGTGGATATCAGTTTTCATGGATTGAGGAATACCTGCATTTTCATGGATATTTGATTTCATGGTTTTGCGAATCTCTGCATACAATGAATATAGAAAATTTGTAATTCGTTGAACATTTGAATTCATGGTTCATCTACATATACCGGTAAATCATTTTGGAAATGGAACATAAAATGCTATGTATAAAAGCATGAAAAGAATGCACATAAACATTTGAATTGACTCAGGTAAACAAGGTACACATTTATTTATTTCACATCACAGTCTAATGGAATTCTAGTATCTTTGGTAAAACCTTCAAAGTAATCCATATGCTGATGTTTAAACACCTCATTACCATAGCAACACCAAGCTGGAGTCAAGTTCCTGGCAAATATTTCCAAACATTTGGGATTCTCTGGTAGATAAGGTTTCATGATATCTTGTAATGGAATTTTCATAGAATGAATACTACTAGGCACACTCAGGATGGTCATATCTAACGGTAGATTGTCATTGTTTAACGAAGCAGGTAACATTGTTCTCTCATTACACAAGTCCTCTACAGATTTAGAACTTATCCTTTCACTTGAGTTTTCTTTGCAGTTCACATCTCTACAAATGTTACTTTTCTTATTATCTTTTTCATATATCTTTTCGTCAGATATTTTCTTTATTTCTGTGTGTTTACATTTTCCTAATATAAGAATTTCATATGGTTTTTTATGTTCAGACATTATATCTAATACTGTACTGCCAGACTTTGTTACTTTAATCCAATACCAAGTTGTTATAAAATCTACATTCCAAAAGGGGAATAACTCTTGTATAACAAAATCCTTATGTTTCATTTTGTTTGTAACCCACACACCAATAACACAACCAGGGGCAGATAACTCAGGAACTGGGATTTGAAATAATTCTTCATTATCCAATGTCCAATATTGTTTCTTTCTTTTTACAGACTTATTTTCCCATGGTGGATCAAGTAAAATAAAGTCAAATTCATTTCTGCCTAAAATTGAAGTAAAATATTTTAAATTAACAGTGTCACCCATAATGAAAGAAGATTCTGCAGGTAAAAAGTAAAAGTCATCCTTAATTTCAACTTTTATGGAAGAGTTGCTACAATTTTTCACAAGTTTATTACACAAATTATCATAAACACCATTAGGTTTTAAAGTCACAGTTTCAAGGTCATTGATATCAGTATAACACAATTCCCTCAGTTTGTCTCCTGGTCCGGAGTTCAATGCAATCTTCCTTGCAGCAACATTATTATCTAATGATTTACTAATATCGTTAAAAAGTTTCATTTCTTTAGAACCATGGAGTAAAGATTTATAGGCATGTAAAATAACTTCTATAATTTTATCATGATATGTTTTAGCTTTAATTTCTCCTTCATTTAAATTGGATTTTCTTTTTCTCTTTCTCTTTTTACGATTGACATGTGTATGGTCAACCCTTTCCTGTACCCTGATTTTACTTTCAAACTCGCTATCCATGATAAATTGGCTATTAATTTCAAACATGTCCCTTTTGTATGAGAAATCTGTCACAGTACCGTCTTCAGAATTAACATCTTTAAAAGTGACTGCAGTCAGCTGCCAATGATCAAGTATCCAGCCGTACATATTCTGATACATAATGGCCATCTTTAAATTATAACAAATTGTGAATCCTCGTACATCACTTTCTGAAACTTCACTTCCACATCACGTTTCTTTATTAAGTTATGCACACACATGAAAGGTATTTCTTATGTTCTTATATCAAAATGTCAACCATATCTGAAAATAAATAAAAGATATTAGATCATATTAAAATATGAGTCAAAATATAATTAGTTAGCAGGTCTGTCTGATAACATGGATAAGTTTACTTTAAATTCAGTAATTTCTTAGTGCATTATTTTCTCTATTTCTTTTATATTATGTTTGAAAATTATTTTGTAATTATTCTGCTCATTTTGGTCACCTTGATAGGCAAATAAAGTATTTGTTTGTAAACATGGTAAACACATTTCCACTTTACAACATGTACAAGCTAAGTAAAAGATTGTCTATCTGTGATAATACATTTATTCAAAACTCAGAATATGTATGGTTGCTTTCTCATTGCAAAAAGTTAAATCACAAAAATACTGAACTCCGCGGAAAATTCAAAACGAAAAGTCCCTAATCAAATAGCAAAATCAAAAGCACAAACACATCAAACGAATGGACAACAACTGTCATATTCCTGACTTGGTACAGGCATTTTCCTATGTAGAAAATGGTGGATTGAACCTTGTTTTATAGCACTAATTTAAACCTCTCACTTGTATGACAGTCACATCAAATTGCAAGTTATTTGCCTTATTTTAAATGAGAAGTAAAATTAGTTTACTAAACATGCTAAAAGAAGTGATTTTTTGTTGCTATACTCGTTTTCCAAGATTCAAAGTATGACAGTATTGTTATACAGAATATAACAGGGATAAACAATTTAACTGACCAAAAGCACAACAGAATTTATTATTAAATATGACAAACATTTACTGTTATCCCAGTCTTGAACAAATCACTTGTTAAGTAGTATCAACATGTGTCATTTACTGATGCCACAGGTGGAGCAGGATCTGCTTACCTTCCCAGAGCACCGCTGCAGATAGTAATATTTTGGCGAGGTTTATATTGCTTAGTCCTTAGTTTTCTCACTATACAAATCCTTGATACAGTATAAAAGTGTCCTTTTAGATTTTTAATTTTTTAGTATAAATAAGTTTTGAAATTGTGTGACGCGTTCAATACACATACACAACTGTATGTGTATTCCAAATAATCATGCCGTCTGCTGAAGGTATTTGACTTTTTTTATCCATCTTCTTTTGGTCAACAAGGCTTAAATACTGAAGAATACATGTTGTTGTGCATGCGTGATTGACGAAAATTTATACAAATTCATAATAATATTTAATAACAATTTAAGTCACTTATTCATGAATCATTTGACACTGGAATAGTACCCATGAATAAAACTGGAATATTCATGAATATTCTTCCTAATTCATGAATACATGAATATCATGCATGTCATGAAAGCAGGGAAATATTTCTTTTCTGGATCAAAACTGAAATTGTCAGATTTTGCAGATGACATATATACATGTAGGTCTTTACATAAATAGGAGAAGATGTGGTATGAGTGCCATTGAGACAACTCTCCATCCAAGTCACAATTTGTAAAAGTAAACCATTATAGGTCAATGTAAGGCCTTCAACACGGAGTCTTGGTATTAATAGTTTATGCTGACCCTCCGTTGCTTTCTTACTTTTTGCGAAATCTGGCAATACAATAACAATTAAGATTATTTTTGATATAATTTTATTTGTCTTATTTTAATACGCAATATAAAATAACATTCCTATGTAAACCCATTTTTTATGCACTTGTAAATAGTGTGAAAATGCGTCAGAGTGCACCATTTTCATTGTAAGGTCAAACAAATTTTCGGGGGGGCAAGCCCCCCTGACCCCCCTTTTCAGGTCAGCCACTTCAAATTAGTAAACAGCCTGTTCATTGAAAAGTTATTGAAAGCCCCTGTATAACTGTTTTAGTTTTCAATCAATCTTCTTGTAATTTGAATTTTGTTATAGAAAATCAAGGATTTGTATAGTACATGTACTATACAAATCCTTGTGAAAATGTATAATATTTTATTAAAATGATAAAGAATTTTTTGAAAAATATTTTTTTAGTTCCAAAAACAGGAAATAAAAAGACCTGAAAAATACGGCTAGATGTATTTAAACTGTCAGAACTTTTTTTAATTTTTTTAATTGATTATATTCTCAATTAAATTACATTGAAGGGAAAGACTAATTTTATGCATACAGGAAAATTTTTAAATAACAAATACATTGTTGATGTTGAAACCTGAACCTGAAGGGAACACAGGATTGTCCATGGAAAATTATTCAAACTAATTCACTTGTTTAAATTGTATCTATATAAACTTCTATAAAACCATTCAGGCTGGAACTATAAAACTAACGTATAATAGTCCCAGATTCAGGTTTCTTATTCTCTGTTCAGGTCTGAGTTTTGTCACCAAAAACATATTTTTCATTATTTAAATTTTAATTTTAACAAAATGTTAATTTTTTTTATTTTACAAAATCTTAAAGTTGATGGAGTTCCATTAAATATTTAAAAAGTTATTGAAGTTTGAATAAGTCTGACCATACATTTTCAGGTCCGTTCAGGTTTCAGCATACCTGTCAACCTATGACAATGAAAATGCAGGTGATGACCTGCATAGAAGAATGAAATCTCAGGTCATAACGCGTACAAACTTTTTCGAGCTGAATTTCAGTATTTAGGGGACATTTTTCTCATAATTTTTTCAAAGTTTCCAAAACATATCCACATGGTTAAGTAATTTAAAATTGTACATATTACTTCATTGCACTTGAAGGCCATTGATAGATTTATGTTATATTGGTTTAATTCAACTTCATTGCATACATTTGTGCAGGTTTAATCATATCATCATACCAACAACAAATGGAAGTTTTTAACGACCTTGACTGGCTTTACAGCCCTTGCACGGTCGGTATCATACCAAATGTTGATATTCGAATATATAAAAAGATAAAGTTAAACTATTAAAAGAGGTATAGATGAAAAAAGTAATTTTCAAAATTTTTATTTTTTAATTGTTCTAAGGTAGAAAAATAAGTAAAAGTATTATTCTGATATGTTTTTGGCATTCAATTCATTTCAGATTTAATCTTTTTACAAAAAACACATAAGTTTAAGGAGAATATTGTGAGATGACAAAAGAAGGAAGTAACTCAAGTTGTCTTTAAAACAACTTTGAAATACACAAATTATTTATGACCTAAAGCTAAGGTAATTGGTGTTAATTAACAGTATGTTTGACACCAAAGCTGTCAAGTGAAGCCATGCACTGAAATGATCGGGTCACTTGATTTGAGTTTACACAGGTATCTTGTCCAGGAAGAATTCATTTCAAAGGAAAATCACTTACGAAATCAGTCTGAAAGCTAAGGAATCCGGGTAAAAACGGGTTATTTGGTCACCCGGTGGGTATCCCGGGTGACCTCTCAGAATTGTGAAAATCTTGGGTCACACCCGCAGGATCCGGGTCAGTTGACAGGTATGGGTTTGGGCATCAAAAATTTGTTTTTTATTTGAAACATTTTATTTCTACTAAAATGTGGATCATTACCTTTAATAAAATTCTATCTTGAAGAAAATCTATCGGAAAATAAAAAAGTAATTGTACATTTGAATATTAAAATCGAGTCTTATATTTTCAGGTCCCATTCTATGAGGTGCCGTTTTACTATTTATTACCTATTTTCTGATATCAAAAAATGATTTTCTGATATCAAAAATTCTATTTTTTGATATCAGAAAATCGATTTCTTGATATCAAGAAATAAAGAATATTTTCTGATATCAATAATTCGAATTCCTGATATCAAAAATTCATTTTTTGATATCAGGAAATAGATTTTTTGATATCAGAAATTCGAATTTTTGATATCAGAAAATATTTTTGATTTTTTGATATCAAGAAATAGATTTTTTGATATCAAAAAATGATTTTTTGATATCAAGAATTCGAATTCCTGATATCAAAAAATGATTTTTTGATATCAGAAAATAAGAAATAAATGAATGATGGCTCCCTGTGTGTCATTTAAGACATTCAGGCTCACCAATGAGGCCAAACATCAGGAAATATCTGAAATAATGTTCCCGGTAGACCAATTGTTTTATAGTGTGGAGTACCACTATACACGGTATTGGTCATTATATTGATGACATTGTGTCCCTTGTTACAAAAACAAAATGCTTATACACTTCAAGTTTTATAAACATGAATAAGACTTCAAAGTCTCCGGAAAACTGCTATTTAATAACAATATTTGAAGCAAAAAAAATATTTACACTAATCTTCAGTTTGATCAAACTTATTACGAAATTCAAGACCCATGCACTAAAAGACAATATATGGAAGATTTTTTAAAATTATTCCTAAATAAAACATATTTACTCTTGTGTCGTACAATCCGAATTGGCGGGATATGTCGACCTAAGAATTTACTACATACTGGAAAATGTTTTCAAGATTTAGATACGATGGCTCGATAATATATTCAGGTTCAACAGGCGATATACACGATCTTTTCGCCTTATATATCTAATACAATGCATAAACAAGTCTAAATTGAAAACAACGTTCAAACCTATGATTGCGTTGGATAAAAACCGCAATTTTTATACGTGTGCATGCAAAACAAATTTCTTGGTAGAGGGGTCTAAATACAGCACAAACAACATTTTCCAAAAGATCAAAAAAGTGAAAAAGTATATTTTAACAATACGCATTTGACTAACAGGTCGAACAACGGATGTTCTTAAGCCCTGCTGACTGCCATTGGCGATTGCCAAATAAACGGATCACAAGATGTAACAAAATTGATCTTAATTATTAATTTAATACCAAACAGAAAACAATAAACTTGCGGAAAAGATGGTATACCACAAACATGAGGTGCAAAAATTTGTACACCATATCCGGATTTCGACAATTAATATCTCTTCAGTGATGTTAGGAATCGAAACGGTATTTGGAAGACCATATAATTTACCTCAATTTAGGATAGACTCTTGAATTTTGAAGAGTCGAAATGTATACCCTACTAACTTTTCTCAAAATGAAGTGAAAATTTCTTGACAATCCTTTCAATATAAAGACAAACTTTTCCAAAATGAAGGTATTTTAGAGATGAAAACGTACATCCAACCTACTGAAACGTTTCATTACTTCACAGAAAAAGCTCATATGTATTTAAAAGGTTTATGGAAGACGCGGTTCATAAGAAATACTAGCAGTCTCGTAAAAAGACGAAATAGACAAATCTTTTGAAAATACAAGACATGCATTTTTTTTATGTTGTTGTTGGCTTTGAACTAGTTGTCACTATCACATCTGTAATTTGTGTCTTTTTGTATTTGTTACCCTGCCACGTTTGTTCTTACACTATGTTGTAATGTAACACCAGTGTTCCAGGTTAAGGGGAGAGTTGAGCGCTCAAACATGTTTAATCCCGCCAGATTCTTTATGTGTCTGTTCCAAGTCCGGAGCCTGCAGTTTCGTGCATTGTCTTGGTTCATAGAATTGAGAATGGAAATGGGGGGGAATATGTCAAAGAGAAAACAACCCGATCAAAGAGCAGAAAACAGCCGAAGGCCACCAATGGGTCTTCAACGCAGCGAGAAAATCCCGCACCCGGAGGTGGTCCTCAGCTGGACCCTAAACAAAATTGTGTACTAGTTCAGTGAAAATGGACGTCACACTAAACTCCAAAACATATCAATGAACTAAAATTAAAAAACATACAAGACAAACAAAGGCCAGAGGCTCCTGACTTGGGACAGGCGAAAAAATGCGGCGGGGTTAGACATGTTTTGTGAGATCTCAACCCTCCCCCTATACCTCTAGCCAATGTAGAATAAAGAAAAACATAGCAATACGCACAGTAAAACTCAGTTTAAAAGAAGTCCGAGTCCGATGTCAGAATAGGTAACAAAATAAACTAAGCAAAATGACAATGATACATAAATGAACAAAGGACTACTAGCAGTTACTGACATGCCAGCTCCAGACCTCAATTAAACTGATTGAAAGATTATGTCTTCATCATCATAAGAAAATCCAGTACAATCCCTCCCGTTATGAGTTTAGTATCATACCATCATAGAATATAAACCGTATCATGCCCACAACTGGTTTTAGAATAAATGTGTTTATTTCCGATGCAAAGACCCTATGAGTGAATCAATATTAATACCAAAATAAGCAATCATTAATGACTAATTGACAACAGTACCGTAACTACTGGTATATCCTTTCCGAATAAGTCTGTTTAAAGGTTTGGTTAGATTTTGAGGTGAATGCCGACATTTTTGTGCCTTGTAAAGAAGTCTGCATGTTGATTTATATTTACGAATGATGTCTCCCTTTATTTGTTTTACGTAAATTGTTTTGTTATAAATCATATAGGCCTTTAGCTTTCTAAATTGAGTTGTTTATTTCTTTTTCATATTGGGGCCTTTTATAGGCGACTATATGGTATGGGTTTTTCTCATTGTTGAAGGCCGTACGGTTGCTTATAATTGCTTACATCAACTTCATTTGAACTTTGGTGGCTAGTTGTCTCATGGGCTATCATACCACATCTCCTTATTTTTAAACTTAACAGAACTAACTTACTTACTAAATCCTCAACATAAACAACGGGAAAAAAATATAAAAACAAGATGAACAAAACACTGGGGCTTGATATTTGCAAAAACCTGACTGCACAAATCTGTTTCAGAGGAAACCAATAATTGCTTATAAAAGAAGCGAGAACTTACAATTGTTGACTATAAACCTTAAAATAATAAATATGTGAAACACAAAAAAAACTTCTTATATTAAGACCGATGAAGTCGAACTCTGATATATGCTTTCGTATAATTATATATTACACGACCGAAACACCAGACTTAATGTAAGGGCTCATTGGTGAACGTTGATGCTTTTATTGACACACAGGGAGCAATCGTTGATTTTTTTCTTATTTTCTGATATTAAAAAATCATTTTTTGATATCAGGAATTCGCGAATTTTTGATATCAAAAAATCATTTTTTGATATCAGAAAATGTATTTCTTGATATCAAAATATCGTCAGTAATATTTGATATCAGAAAATCTATTTTTTGATATCAGAAAATGGATTTCTTGATATCAAAAAATGATTTTTTGATATCAAAAATCGAATTTCTGATTTCAAGAAATAAAGATTATTTTCTGATATCAAGAAATCGAATTCTTGATATCAAAAAAGGCAATTTTTTATATCAAAAAATTGAATTCCTGATATCAAAAAATCATTTTTTGATATCAGGAATTCAATTTTTTGATATCAAGAAATAAGGAATAAATAGTAAAACGGCGCCTCATACCATTCAGGTCTTTTCAGGTCCACGTTCAGGTCTTTAGTGTAACCCACCAAATAACAGTAATCATACAATATTAACATTTAATAACTAATCATGATCATCAAATTGATAAAAAAAAAATTCTTATAATAATTCCCAATTTTTATTCAGCAAAATATATATATTTTGTATACACATAAAAAATATCTATTAATTCAACTGGAATTTGATTAAAAATAGGGTGTGAACGGACCTATGGGGCGAACGGACAAATGGACAAACATGTAGGGTGCGAAAGTGTATTGGGAGCGAACGCACCCAACTCTGAATGACATATATTTTAGCTTTCAGAGAGTTAAATAATTGACAAGAGTCGACAATTAAGGGTACGAAGACAGTGGTTCTATAACTTTTGAGGACTATACGAAACATACGTGCATTTTGAAATCGTGAGGGTCAGTATACCAGTATATTAGTGGAAGCTTATAGGGCACCTGTTAGTCTGAGTCTTTAAACGTTTTTTCCCGAACGATAAAGCGTCTTTATTCAAACCCAATTGTGACCATGATGTTTTGCGTACTTAGAAACAATATGGCGGACTAAGATTTCTCTACGATTAGAAGACCCCATCGTAAGAAAATGGGTTTATGTATTATACTGATAATTATTTTGCTCTTAAGTTAATTTAAGACAAATTCTTTATCGCACACTACTGAAATACTGTTCAGGACATGTTTTTTTAAATGAAATAGTGTATTTATTATTTGTTTAATTCTCAGATCTGCAGTGACATCACAACATGTAACTGACCAATCAATGATTAGCATTTGTGTTATGTAAACAATGTTGAGAGGTGATGCCAATAAGAATCCTCTAGATTTTCCATAGACTTCAATGCAAATTAATTTAATTGATATATATCGACACCAGTTAAATATAGTAATTTTACTCTTTTAATATTGTTAAAGACACTATATAATATCTCCATTTTGATTTTTATCATACTATATCCTCTGGTTAAAAAATAATCGGCAATATAAATAATCAGTAATCACCTTTAAATAGAAGAAAAATCTAGAGGATTCCTATTGGCATCACCCCTTGAAAAATTTAAATGCCAGGATGTCCGGATCTGAGAATTGCCTAAATTGGTCAGTCTGGACAATATTTCTCTGCTGTCATTCACAATGTTTTAATGTGGAATACTCTCTATGTGATAATTTATCAGATTAAATACATGTATTGTTTAAACTAACTGTGAGAGTGTTTCTGGATTCTTAGTTCTAAATATTGTCCATGAAAAGTACAAAATAGAATAGAATAAAATATTTTTATTCACCAAATTTGGACCTCAGGAGGGCGTTTACATGTAGCATAAATAACATATCATTTATACAATTGTCTAGATTGCATTGCATAATATGCAATGCAATCTAGACAATTGTATAAAAAAACCATGAAAACTCACATAACAGAATAATTTACATTTGATAAATGATTTATGTGATTTATGTGGTGTGTATATAGCCGTGCAAGCTGCACCAGAGACATGTCTCTGGCTGCACCAAACAATTCTCATCTGTAGTACACAAATATTTTATAACTGAATATTTTTTATTGTATCTAACAAACAAATATACACTGATATATACATGTATACATAAAAATGTATATGTGTTAACATTGAATAGTTTCAAATGACCATTAATTTACAAATGAAATAACTCAAGTGTCTATTACTTTATATAAATTCTATTAGTATTATTAAGGTCGTCAGTTTTTCCACATTTTTCATGGTGGGGCTTCTTATAGCCTATACTGTATATGGAATGGGATTTTCTGTGACCCACAATAGCTTATGTAACCATTACTGACCACTTCAAAGAAATTGAACTGTGGTGAATAGTTGTCTCATTGGCAATCCTAACCAGTGTCATCTCTTTGTTTTTAAAGCAATTGCTTTTATGCCATCGCATATGGCCATCTTTGTGACGCAAATCAGAGACTCCGCCCAGATCAAGCAATAGTATTTTGTTAAACAGGCTCCTGGTCTGTCATCCTTAAACACCTATGTATGTTTTCTAATGCAATACATAGCTTGAAACTTTTGAAAAACGTTAGTGGATTTAAGAGGTTTCAGCATATGTTCTTGTAGATGTATTTTTGTATTTAGGGGGACAACCGTTTGACTATCAAAAAACATAGAAGTCCGAGTGAAAAAAAGTGCATTTTTATACCTGCGAATTTCCGTTCTCCTTTCGTACGATGTTTCAACAAAATATGGAATCACTTCAGTTGTTGATTTAGTATTGATAATTTTACTGAATTATCTCTTATCAAATACGGTTTTATATCATGTATATGTTTAATTGGTGTTTCTCTAAGAAAGAGGCCAGGTGCTCTTGTTCATTCATAAAATTATCGTTCATTCATAAATTTATCGTAAAATCAAAATCACTACACAGGTTATACGTAGTGTCAAATGATTACCTGTAATCTAAAAATAGACAAACTTAACTGACCTATTTCGTTGATTTGTTTGCGCAAATAATTTAGCGGAATGAAACCCTTGTTAAAAACACATAACAATAAGTTCGTTTTCCTTTTTTGTCATAACTCCGTAAGATTTATCCATCACATTACTAATGAAATGGACCCGTCAAAACGTGATAGATGCCAAGTCCAGATGAAGAGATATTTACAATTTGGAATTTTCTAGTTTCATAGATTGAAAAAAAGTACGTCCTTTTGGATATCATAATCAAAACTGGGTATGCATGACAAATGATAAAACCATTATCCTCGTCTTTCCAGTGGACAAGTCTACTACGTGTGTTTTTTCTCGACGGTCCACCGTGTTTGCAATTTTATTTCACATGTTTTCGAAATATTGAAGATCATTTTTCGCAATGTTTCCTGAAAATTGATAAATATCAAAGCAACGAAGAGCTGTTTGTTCTTGTTCGTATAATGACGATTTAATGTCATATTTGTCTGTGATGACCCCCCTTTTCGGGATTGCATGAGAATTATAGTTATCTAGTACCGCATGAGGATGACACATATCAACTGAGCAATAATGTTTGGGACTTAGTTTTAAGAAATGAAGACAAAGTAACATTATGAAAATATTTTTAGTAAGCTGAAATATATATTTATTTTTTACATGTTTATGTCTTGTAAGATATTTTATTTCTTTCCCGTTTTTCAACATTTGTGTCTGGAAAGTTGAAATGTTTTAATTGAATGGTTAAATTTAAATTAATTATGATAATTGTTAAAATTAAATCAATAAAGGAAATTATTGCCCAGTTACAAACACCAGAGACATATAATACATGTATTATATGTCTCTGCAAACACTACCAGGGGATAATTTCTTTTTGAGTTGTATATGTTTCAGCACATGTAAATTTGACCCCAACTTTAGCCTGGTAAACGTGTCGTCTCCCTGTGAAATATAAAACATATTAAAAATGACTTTCTGCTAAAGTTTTTTATTGATATAAAGTTAAAACCTTCTTACTTCTCACTAGACAACACTCCTGTCAGGTTTAATTCTTATATATATGTGGATGAAAAATAAAAGTCCACAAAACATTAGCATGGCAGCAATTGCTTTTACAGCCTTTAAGGCTTTGATTATATTTATAGCAGATGGAACTGTATCTATTAAACAGGGGTTTGTTTGTTATACATTGTATTCAATAAAGTAAAACACTTTAATTATATCATTGTCCAAAGTCTTAATTTCTTTGACCCTTTTAATTAGACAAATATCATGACAATCAATCTATCAAATATTGTGACAATATAGACAAAATAAAACTATAACCACCCTTTAGCATGTTCAGTGATACAAAATTTCATTATTTCTATCAAGCTATGAAATATTGTCTTTATATAGAAAAAATCTTATGGAAAATTGCCTTTCTATGGACATTATTTCATAGAAGGGGACAAAATATAATGATTAATAATCATGAAATTTTGTCCTAGGTGACATCATTTAATTGGACTTGTTGGACAATATTTTGCTTTACATATTCACTAAGAAATTGTCATAGTAAGCTGCTGTGTCCTCTCCAGTCTAGAATCAATACTGTCATTACTGATGTGGTTTTCAAAATTGTAAAATTGCATAGGAATACAGAATCATTACACATTGTTTACCACATAAAAAAAATTTTGTCAAATAAATTTGTGACAGAATAAGAGAGATAGTGCATAGATATATATCAAATTAAAATATGATTTTCAAAAATTTTATTACTTTCACATTCATGACATATTGGTACATGTATTTGAAAATTGATGTTGACTACATGTACTACCATCTCAATCATCTGACAGTCAGACAAGATCTTACAGGGTTGTCTGTTGGGCTGTGATATACATGTACTACCATCTCAATCATCTGACAGTCAGACAAGATCTTACAGGGTTGTCTGTTGGGCTGTGATATACATGTACTACCATCTCAATCATCTGACAGTCAGACAAGATCTTACAGGGTTGTCTGTTGGGCTGTGATATACATGTACTACCATCTCAATCATCTGACAGTCAGACAAGATCTTACAGGGTTGTCTGTTGGGCTGTGATATACATGTACTACCATCTCAATCATCTGACAGTCAGACAAGATCTTACAGGGTTGTCTGTTGGGCTGTGATATACATGTACTACCATCTCAATCATCTGACAGTCAGACAAGATCTTACAGGGTTGTCTGTTGGGCTGTGATATACAGCCAAGTCTTTCATCTGACAGTAAGACAAGATCTTACAGGGTTGTCTGTTGGGCTGTGATATACAGCCAAGTCTTTCATCTGACAGTCAGACAAGATCTTACAGGGTTGTCTGTTGGGCTACAGGTGATATACAGCCAAGTCTTTCATCTAACCGTAAGACAAGATCTTACAGAGTTGTCTGTTGGGCTGTGATATACAGTCAGGTCTTTTGATACTATGTATAGTACATGTAGATCGGATGCTTGTATTGTCACAGTGCCAAATTGATTGTATCTAATAATGTTACATTAAAAAAAAAAAAATCAGTACCTCCCTCATCTATAATGTATAATAATATATTAATTATTGAGCACACCATGAATTTTTATTCCTTGCATCTGAATCAGAGTTGTCTCTCTTAAAATGTCTTTCTTACTTCTTTTTGTTGAGCCTGCGACTTTTGTCGCAAAAGCGAGACATAGCGGTGTCCACAAATATTCACTCTGTGGTTAAAGTTTTTGAAATTTTAATAACTTTAATTTCTTAAACTATCCTGGATTTCTAAAATTTTTAATCATTTTTTCCCCATTTTTGTTGAGCCTGCGACTAAGAGCAAAAGTAGGCGAGGCACTGGGTTCCGTGGGACCCTTATGAATTTTTTACTTTAGATTCTCTGTCGTCATGATCATTGGAATTTAAAGTATTTCTTTACTAAGTTCCTTAGTCTTAGTATAAATTAAGACAAAATTCTAATGTAGATTTGGTTGCTGACATTTTAAT